AGCAGACCTTCTGAGACCCAGGGAAGCACGTTCGAAAGGGTACAACCCTGGAGGCTCAGAGACGGATCACGAAGAGCACAGGGCTCTGCTGCTCTGGGAAGATGCCGACTGGGCAGTGTGTTCTTACTGCGCCCACCTAAGGGGAAGAGGGAGGGAAGGCTTCTGTGTGGGCTTAAGAACATTCCTAGGGCTTCATGTTTATTGGCATCTGACCCAGAGTCCTGCCTGTGAGCAAGGGCGCAGCCCTGGGCTGAAGGTAGGAAAACTAGCATCCTACTGCCCACTGAATTCAGTCTCTACCCACCCCCACAGTCGTCCAAAGAGGGTAAAAATGGCCCAAGGACACATTGGGCTGATCTGGTGACAGTCGGCTGAGTCTAGTATCAGAGGGCAGGATGTGTTTGAAGTTCTGCCCATTTAGCTCCACGACAGAAACAAGCAGTGGCAGAGACGAGGAGCAAGACGCTGGCAGCCGTGCGCCTTCCTAGGTCTTTATGGCCGTGTCTCTGGACTTGTAGGCCACGCCTCGACTCTTCAGCTCCCGTACAATTCCTGCAGTGGGAAGAGAAACAGCTCTGTGAAGGGAGAAGACTCCAGAACACAAGCAGTGTCCCCTGGCTCCCATGTGGGGAGGAGAGGGGGTGGTACACTCTAGGCAAACTGGAATTTCTGGACTGCTCATCAGGAGAACTGCATGGCTGGCGTGTCACCCACTTGAGGACCGAGGCACGTGCTTGTCAATGACTTAGTAAGGACGGGAAGACAACGGAAGACCACACCACAGCTGTCAAAAGCAAGGGTTCTGGGGCCAGGATGCCTGGGTGGAAATTCTGGCTCCTTACTGAGGGACCTTGGTCAAGTTATTTAACATCTCTGAAGTTTTGGTTCCCTCACAGAGCCGTGAGCACTGGCATTAATTCACATGAGAAACTTCCACAGAGCCTGGCACAATAAATGAACATGGGCTGTTACTGTAATTATTATTACCTTGGGGCAGGCGACCAGTGACAGACACTGCATACACGCCTGGCTTAAAGTTACCTGAAAGAGAAGAAAAGAGACTGCAGTTAAGAGTGAGTTATGACGAAAGCCCAAACACAATCTTAAGCTAAAAATGAAAGAAATGCTGGAACTCTAAGAGAACAGCAATCGCTTCTTTTGGCTACAAGTTTTAAGTGACAGGGCATAGGATACTTTTTGTGGCTTTTCCTCTGACCCATCTTTCTCACTCTGGGGCCACTTACCTGTTGATTGAAGCCTCCCCCTCCCCCACCCCCCCAGCCCTGACAATACATCTAGGCCAGGATAAAGACAAAGGGAGACACTTACTGACTCGCTGCCACTTGGAGACCCAGCTGTCCTCTGGACTCATCATTGCGATGATTCTAGGAAAGGAAAAGAAACAAGAGTCAGCCTGAGCCGCCTCCACTAGAGAGTGAGATTGAGGGCACGGCCCACCCCCTAGCCCACCCCACCCCAACCTTTACTCTGCTCCCAGCCAGCACAACAGTTCTGGGAGAGGAAATCTCAGGAAAAGCCAAGACGTGAGTTTCTACTAGGAAGCACGGAAAACTCTGCAGAGTTCTAGTGCTGGCAAGGGACTGACTCAGAGCTAGTACTGACCGTCCTTGGGCTTACATCCCCGGCCCCCAGTCACAGGTCAGTCATCACCCACCCCCCGAAAAGACTGATGCCCCAGGGAGTGGGACAGCTTTCGAGGTAGATGGCTGATTACAACCAGCACGACCACTGAAGGCTGGGGCCTAGGGCAAAGGGGAGGTTGAGTCTAAACAGTGCGTCCCCTTAGTAGAAATAACTTAAATTTAATCAAGCTCTGTCTCTAATGAGCTGTCCAGCCTGACTCCCATATGAAGAGCTCCCTCAGAACTTAAGATGAAATTGAAAGGGTGAGCTAATACCTGAAAGAGCCCTAGCACAGAGTAGATGCTAAATAAACACTAGCTCTCCTTACTATCCTAATCATTCCTCCCAGGGTAGCTGTAAACCCAGAGCACAGGCCACAGAAAGGGCCAGAAGCCTGCTACTGAGCATGACAGGTAAGCTTCAGGTGCTTTCAGAAGCTACAGAGGTCATTTCTGTCATTCCCCATTCAAACAGCTATTTACTGACTGCCTCCTGGGACAGACCTGCACGGAGCACTGATGTCTGCTGACTGCCTCTTCAGTATCCACTCCTCCTTCTCTTGCTAACCATCTTGGATTCTTACTTAGGAAGCCTCCCGCCCCATCCAAATCCTATATTCACAGTCATATGCTTCCAGCGAAACTGACCTCACCTCTAGAGGTGGCAAGTAGGATAAGGCCCACTCTGACCTGGCAGGCCAATCTGGGGTAGGCATGTACACAGGCTGCTCTCATGACCAAATGTGTATTTTCCTCTGGCCGTCGTCCTTCAAAATCTATCCTTCCAGCCTCACAGTGCCTGCTAATCCAATCTGATGATTTAATCTAATCAGAATCCCCACCATTCTCCAAACATACCCTGCTTTACCCAATCCATTCCTTTGCTCAAGTCAATCCCTTTGTTTAGAATGCTTTTTCTTCCTTTTTCTCATCTTGGCCTCCTCAAAAATCCTACATTTCTTTCCTTTATTAAAAGCCTGATTCATATGCTATCTCCTCCACTTCTGGCTGACTTCATCAAGTCCTCCTCTAATCTTCGTTAGCCTTGGATATACTCACTGTTCAAATCCTAATAAACACCAAAATACATAAATAACTCCTACAACTCAATAACAAAAGACCAAAACCCTGATTCAAAAATGGGCAAAAAACTTAAAGAGACGTTTTACCAAAGAAGATATACAAATGGCCAATAAAGATATGAAAAGATGCTCAATTTCACTTATCATTAAGGAAATGCAAATCAAAGCCACAATAAGATAACCACATCACACCCAATAGGATACCTATTACCAAAAACAAAAAACAAAGCAACAAGTGCTGACAAAGATGTGGAGAAACTGGAACCCTTGTACTCTGCTGGTGGGAATGTAAAATCACGCTGCTACAGAAAACAGTATGGCAGCTTCTCAAAATGTTAAACATAGAATAATCCAGCAACTCTACTTCTGGATATATATTCCCAAAGAAGTGAAAGAAAGCAGGGACTCAAAGAGGTATCTGTAAACCCATATTCATGGCAGCATTATTCCTAACAGCCAAAAAGTAGAAGCAATCTAAGTGTCCATCGATAGATGCACAGATAATTAAAATTTGGTATATACATAGAAAGAGATAACATTACACTTAAAAAGGAAATTCTGACACATGCTACAATGTAAATAAACCTTGAAGACATTATGCTGCATGAAATAAGCAAATCACAAAAGGACAAATATTGTATGATTCCACTTATATGAAGTACCTAGAGTAATCAAACTCACAGGAAAGTTAAACGGTGGTTGCCAGGGGCTGGGAGGAGGAGAAATGAGAAGATGTGCTAACAAACGAAGGAAAGAACTGGAGTATCTGAGCGTGTACATGCATGTGTACACATGTACAAAGTAAAGGTTCCATGAAACATCTTCTCTGCCCAATCCTTCACTCTCCCTTAAAGGAAAACAAAGAAGAATGAAGTGGGCCCACCTTGAAGTAGTTTTAGCCAAGCACTGGTTTGGGCCCAGTTTATGTATAAACTGTTCATTGGCCTAGAGACCAAAAGAAACTTAATAGTACCAACTTAACCACCAAAGAATACTGCCTCCTGGCTCCTCCCTTGGGGAAAGAAAACTGAGACCCATCCAACTTAGGTTTCTCTCATTCCCCTGCCCCCACTGACAATCTCACTAAGTGAAAACTTTTCTCATAGGTCCTCTTAGACACATCTAAAGGTATCAGCTTTGGAGCCAAAATTTACCCTTCATTTTCAAAAATGACCTTCCTGCATTTAATAAACATGTATTAAGACCCTATGCCAGGTGATGGTGCACGAGACAAATACAATCCCTACCAGAAATTCCCTAATAGTCTAGTGAAGAACTGTCCAGTGAAAATATAATGAAAGCCACACAATTCATTTTTCAATTTTCTATAGCCATGTTAAAGGAGTAACGACAAAAAGTAAATTAACTTCAGTAATATAGTTCCCTTAACCCAGTATGTTCAAAATGTACTGGACAGCACAGCACTAGTGTGACTCAAAATAACAGACCAACTCATATTAGAGTCTCAAAAGTCTGTCCAAATTTACTTGGTGGGGTTGGGGTAATATAAAGAATGAATGAAGCAATCCAAAGGGCTCACCCATCAAAAGAAGAGCTGGTGCAGTCATATACCATCTCTCGGTTACCCTTCATCTGAAGGTATGCATCACAATTGTCACAGCCATCATATTCAAACTGGTCTATAGTCTTGGGAGAGGGAAAAAAAAGGAGAAAGGTGAGCCAAAGAAAAAACAGCTTTTCCATACTTCTACTTAAGTGAAGCACAAAGCTCCCTATGTTGGCTGTCTCATCATGTTCCCCACTCACCATTCCTACAGCTCCTTTCCTAAGTTCCACTCTCACACCCCTTTTCTTGTTATAGTTATGCCTCTGCTGAAAGCTGAAGTTGCAAAGGCATGTGAGAGCCCCCTGCCCACGGCTTCACAACCTAGCAGTGTCCCTGCTGAAGTAAACGATGGCCTCCTGCTCCTTCCCACACTCTGCCACCGCTCCGAGTCCTGGATCCGACTTTCTTTTTGTTCCCGCAGATCTATTCCACCCTCTTTCCCCCAGCTTGGTCTCTCGTTGAGCCCGTACAACCAGGTCCCCGACAGACACCTTGACCAGCGAACACAGCAGACACGCCCGCAGATGCCGCAGATCCTTCGGCACCGTCTCCAAGGCCATCCTCTCCCAACGAAGAGCAACGAAGGAATGAGCCACAATCGACTCTCCCTACGGATAAATAGTAAAACTTACCCAGAATGCCTGCACTTCCTCTGCCTCAGACTTCCCCTTCCGGCGCGGCGGCCCCGCCCCGCCCCCCGCCTTTGATATGGTTTCTCCCGCCAGGAGGCGGGGCCAGCCGAGAGGCACCTGGGTCGGCGGGGGGGCGAGACTGCGCCGCCGTCAAGCGTGCAGGCGGGGCCCGAGCGGCTGGGCGACAAGGTTGGCGCCTGCGCAGGAGCACGCCGCGGGCTGGAAGGTCTGTCCTGGACCGCTGGTCCCCGGGAGCGTCTCGGATGACAGCAGAGGTGTTTTTTGTCTTCCTGTCTTAAGAGTGAGGGCCAGAGAGCCCACTGTCTCCCTCTGGATTATCTCAGCGGAGCTGAGAAGTCCACGGACCCCCCCCTCCTCCTACCAGCGAGAGCGTGATTGGGTTTCCTACCGGCGAGTGATCGGGTTTCCTGCCAGCGAGTGATTGGGTTTCCTAGAGTGTGATTGGGTTTCCCTTTGCTTCCACAGGAATGCTGGTTTGTGAGCCGACTTCCGAAAAAAAAAAAAAGCGTTGTTATTTCTAAAAACTCTTTATGTAAGTTTCCTCATTCCAACTGATAATTTACGCTTTGTGCAGCTTTTAGCGTTTAGATCCAGTTCCTCTACTTTAGATGGTCTGTAGGAGATCGTGTCCTTTTTATTTTGCACCCTATAGGAAGATTTACAAATGCTTCGTTGTCTGGTTCAAAACTGGCACCAGACAGCCCCCACCTCTACCAAACCTTTGCCGAAGAAGCAGGAAGGGAAAACGCTTTTTGTGAGAAGAGGATAAGCCCCTGCAGGCGCTATGGAATTCTCCATACCCACGTAGCACCAGCTCCCTTGAGCTTCACGGTAGTCCCACGAGTAGGCAGAGGACGTGTTTATCTAGACTGGAACTGTGGGATATAGATGGTTTCAGGCCCTGCTGTTCTATCTTCCCAACCAGGCCTCCTGAATTGAAACGGAGCTTCTTCAAGGCCGGTCTGCGCCTGGGGCCCGTCCCATGTTGTGTTCAGATGAGTGCTGGGCCTGGGGTTAGGATGTTCTTTATCACTGCATACTCTATACTTTGAAACAAACGCCACCCTGTTTGTCTCAGGGGAGCTCTCCAACAACTCTGTGAAGTGGGCCCATTTCATGGGTGGAAAAGTGAGGCAACAGTGTTTTGCAGGGTCTCAAAGTCCTTGAAGCATTATGGAGTGTGAAGTAAACATACAGTAATAGTACAAATGACACAGTGAACCACAAGGAGAATCCAGTCACATTTTCTCTTTCCCTGATCTCACTAAACAGTGCTTTCAGGGGCTTACCAGCCAGTTCTCGTTGCCGAGCCCACCACACTACTCTGTCCTTTCATAAATCAGAGCCTAACCTCTGATGTCAAGAGTATTTTTCCCCATGTAGAAGATGAAGTTGTTACCCTGAGCGACAGTCATGACAGAAGAAAACCATGAGACCAGATCAAGTTTATGGATAAATATATTAGCAAATAAATACATTTCTCATCATAGTGCCTGATTCAAGCGTCTTTCTGCCTGTTCAGATATAAATACCCACGTGGGTGCCTAGGTGCTAGTTCCCCACTGACTCTGAGGGAAGAGGATCCCCAGGTGGGGTGCTGCGCCCACTCTGTTCCTGCATTCACATTCCAAATGGGATAACGCCTGAGGGGGCCAGCGATGGTCCAGCTGCCCTAGGGTGAACGTTGCCCCGAGGAGGCCCCTCAGCTCTTGCCCACTTGGGACCAGCTGCCCCAGGCCAGACTTCCTTCTCTGACCCCGCTCCACACTGTGTGAATCTGACCTGCGTGGCTTATACTGGGAAGCTGGGCCTCCGGGCCATCTAATCCAAGGGCCCCAAACTGCTCCTCCTGTGTTCTCCCCTGCTCCCTATCCCTGCTCCGAGAGGAAATGTCGAGAGAAAAATTCTTTGTTCAGCTGTAATTCAGTCTTTTCTACCTTCATCCCTTCCTCCCTCTTCCTAAATAAAGTCCAGCAGAAATCCTCTTCTTCCACTTCCTTTGGGATTTTCAGCTAAGTGATCTCCAAGGAAGAATGAGTCCCTTCCCACTAACCCCACCACTCTCCCCCAGAGGGACTGGGGCTGCTGGAATGACCAGGGAGCCTGAAGATCAGAGGCTTCACCCCAGGTTCTCAGGGACTGCACACCCTGGCCTCTCCTCAGACTGAATACAGAGGAGCTGACAAGTACGGACAAGGAGGGAAAACTCCTCTTGTGCACCAGGGCAGGCCATGCCTGGTGAGGCTGCAAAGCCCATCATCTTTTGGCAAAGAAGGAAAACGATAAGAACCGGGTTTGCCATTGATACAGCAGCCTTACTGAGGGGAAGCCAAAGCTGGTGTGCAAGACTGTCTTCAGGAAGGAGGTAAGCAGGGTTCATTCATTCAGCTGAACCCATTTGCTGGTATGAACATGAGGCCTGGGATGAAGGAGAAGTCCTCAGGCTGGGGAAGGAACACCACCTTTATCACACCTGTCTACCTGTGCCTAGCTTCCTGCTCTCAGAAAAGCGCAGCCTGCAAGGGAGCCCACCCACACCAGTGGTAGCTGGTTGCCTGGCTGGACAAGGGCTGGAGCTGGGAGCAGGAGAGGACACCTGCCACCCACCATCACCACCCTCTGCCAGTGGTTCCAGGAATATGGCAAAAAAAAAGGGGGGGGGTTGTTTTCTGAAGTCCTTTCTTTTCTGAGGAGCAGGACTCTGTGGCAGGGAGGGCCCCAAGTCATCCGGCAAGCACTCTTGGTTGGAGCCAAGACTGAACATCTCACACGGCCTGTTCACACAGCTCCTCCAGTTCCTCTTCTGTGCCTGTGTTTAGAGAGGGGAGGAGAGAGGTCACTCAAGGTCAGGCCAGCCTCTTGCTTGTTCTACCTGTAAGAGAGAGGCAAGAGCAGGGAATGGGTCCAGAAGGGTGATCAGATTGAAAGCTGAGAGGGACTCCCGTTGGGACACAGGGGAGAGAAAAACAAATCCAGAGCAAGACACATAGATAGCAACCAGTGTGTTACCAACACTTACTATTCATTCATTCACCCAATAAATATTTATTAAGCACCAGTGGATCTGGCCTGCAACCTTGTGCCAAAGAGAAGACAAAAAGACTAAGGGTCCTGGCAACCCTGTAGGAGAGGTGTGCATTTAATAAGCTGCAATTATGCCAGGGGGGCCAGACTGGGCTCATAAGAGACGAATCAAAGGAGGAGAGAAACCATGTCTTCAGTGGAGCGTCAGGAAGAGCTTCCTGAAAGTGGAGATACACAAGCTGGTCCTGCAGGAATAGGGAAGAATTCCATCTATGGGAATATTCTGAGCAGCAGAATATTCTGAACTGCAGAAGCTGCAAGAAGTGTTTACCTAGTTTAGCTAAAGCTTGGAGCAGGGGAAGGAAAGGCGAAGAGTGGAAAATAAGGTTGGGAAGGCAGATGGGGGCTAGCCGGTACTACAGTCTCGAAGGTCAAACCAGGTTGGATTTTTCTTTACTCTGAACAAAACAACACTTGAAGATTTCTGGACAGTTAATTTGAGGAGGAGGACGCTGGCCGCAGCAGGGAGGGCACGTGAGCAAGGTCACTGTACTGCATGGCTCGACAGGATGGGACACTGATGCTCCATGCCTGGTCTCCAGGGCCTTGTGAGAGGAACGGAAGGACCCAGGAGGTTCCCACCTCGATCTTTAGGCTGTACCTAGAACATGGACAGGGGCCAGCAGTACTGGAAGAGAATATGGTAAAGCTGGCAGAGATACGGTTAATAGACCCTGGGGTGGATTGGATTGGAAGGGCAGGGGACAGAGAGGCACTGAAACTAGTTATGAGTTTGTGAGAGAGAGGAGGTGGTGGGTCTTGCAGTGGCAGCAGGGAAAGTATAAGTGTGACAGGATCCACATGGAGCCATCAAACACACGGTCAGAGTCTACGTCACGTGGCCCTAGGGGAACAATTCTTTTCTATATGATAAGAGTTTGCATGCCCGTCTCTCCACAGACCTGGGTCTCCTGGTTGACAAGTTCCATGTCCTGAGAGTCTGGGACCTAGCACATAGCATGCATGCAATGCAGAAAGAAAAATGAAAGGAAGAAATGAATGAATGGATGACAGCAGCTCCCAGGTCCTGCCTGAGGATTCCTAGACCCTGAAGTCTTATAGTTCAGGACTTTCGGGGCCCCTTTAGGGGTGGAGACATCCTGCTAGCAGTGGCAAAGAGCACTGTCATCCACACAACAGGAAAAGATGGAGAAGAACTGGAGTTGGGGGACCGGGAAGAGGAAGGGGAGGAATTGAACAAATAAACACCAAGTTAAAGTTGAGGATCTACATTCTCACCATTGGCTGCAATACAGTAACAGGGATGCATGGAGTCCCTGAGAGAATAATGTTGGTCTTATCAACAAAGGTAATAGAAGGGAAGCCCTGGTTCCTTTAGTTCCTTTAACCCAAGGGAAAGGAAAAAATCACAGGCCTGCTGGGAACCCCCTGTGATCTCTCTCCACTCCCCCCCCACCCCGCCATCATTCACATAACTCTTCTCATATAGCCCAGAAATATGTGTGTGTGTGTGTGTGTGTTAGTCACTCAGTCATGTCTGACTCTTTGCAACCCCATGGACTGTAGCCCACCAGGCTCCTCTGTCTATGGAATTCTCCAGGCAAGAACACTGGAATGGGTTGCCCTTCCCTTCTCCAGGGGATCTTCCCAACCCAGGGATCATATCCAGGTCTCCCACAATGCAGGCAGATTCTTTACCATCTGAGCCACCAGGGAAGCTCAGAAATATGGTTATCTCTAGTTATATCTCCTATAAGATCTCATATGGCCTGGAATTATGTTTTTCAGTAACTATTTGTCCATACTCTTCTTGGCTTCCTTTGTATTTACAACTAACACGGAGCTGTATGCACTGGTATAGCTGTACCAATTTTTAAAATATTGAAACACTGTGTTTAGACTACGCTGGTGGACTAGTGGTTTAGAACATGGGTTCGATCCCTGGTCTGGGAAGATCCCACATGCCACAGGGCAGCTAAGCCAGGGCTCCACAACCAGAGCAGCCGCAGGGCACTGAAGAGCAGCCCCTGCTAGCAACAAGTCGAGAAAGCCCACGTGCAGCAATGGAGTCCCAGTGCAGCCAAAACAGATAAATTATTAAAACCAATGAGCAAAAAGAAACACTTGGGTTTGTGTTGCTGCCGCAAACCACCCCAAGTGCTTTCTGGTGTCCCAACCACACTCTGACCTCACCTAGACCTCCCTACAATCTGGCAACGGAAGGATTAACACTTGGCAGAGCCAGACCACTCAAGCCAGCATCCCACCCAATGCCAGTTGTCCAGTATTTGAAATGTCACCCCGTGGGGCCCTTCTCAGCTTCCATCAGCCCCCTGGATGATGCCACCCGTTCTGCCATATCCAGCTCTAGCCCCCTCTCCCCAGCAGCCCCACTTCCCCTGAGAACTCACCAGGCTGGGCTGGTAGCACCTGGCAGTGTGGGTAAGGGCATGGCCTGCCCTCCGGGGTGCCAGAACTCCATGCGGAAGGCCCCTCCCCAGATGGGTGCGGTCCGAGGGGCTGGCGTGGAGTCAGACACAACCACACTGGCTGGGAACTCGGGTATGTAGGGCCCGGGGCTTCTGGTAGCAGCCTCCTCTCCAGGCCTGGATGTCCGAAGATCAGTGGGTGGGCCTCTGGGGACCAAGGGTGTGCCAGACTTGGGCCATAATGGGGGAAAATCTGGCAAGTTGGGTGGGTAGGCAAGTCCTGGGATCGAGAGGCTGGGGTGGGCTCCGGGGGTCCCCCTCGCCGTCTCCTCTGGGGGTGTCGGACAGAGAGGCTGGATTTCTGCAAGTGGAAGAGGTTGTTGGCTGCAGGGCTGGGGCTGGAGGCGGCGGGTGGCCCCGGGGCTGGCTCGGTGAGGGCCCGGGGCCGCTGCAGGGCAGGAGGCTGCCCTGAAAGCGCTGCTGGGCTGCACCTGGCCGCGTGCAGATCGGGCGAAGGCGGCTCTGGCGGGAGCTGTGTCCGAGGAGCGGCAGGCCTGGACCGGGGGACTCCAGTTTCGGGGTCAGCCTTCCTGCCGTGCCACTGGAAACGCCTCCTGTAGTGGTGGTGCCGGTGGCGGTGGTAGTGGACGTGGCTGGAAACCTGCGTTTCCGCCGCGGGCACCACCGAGTCCAGAGAACGGGGCCGGGAGGCCAGGCGAGGCGGAGCCGCCCTCCCCGCGGGCTCCCCGTCGGGGCTGCAGTAGACCAGGGGGTCGAAGTCACTGCTCAGGGAGCTGCGGAAGGTGGAGCTGCTGCCGTGGATGCCCTGCAGGCTAACGTCTGTGCAGTTGACCACCGAGTCGCTCGAAGAGCCGTGACAGGGCCCCGAACTGGAGTCGCTGGCTGGCCCGTCCGCCAGGTAGCCGCTGCGTTCCGTGCGGTAGCTCTCTCCGGACCCGCTGCTGTCGTGGGGCCTGGTCCGGCGAGGGGGCGCGGGGCAGGTGGCCGGGTGCTGGGAGGTGCAGCGGAGGTGGCTCAGCCCCCAGCCCGGCGCGTAGGGGTGCGGGGCCGCCGCCAGGCGCTGGGGCTCGCCCGGAGCCCGGGGGTGTGCGGTTCTGGGTTGGCGGTGGTGCCGGGGGCCCACGCCTGGCTCCTGCGATGGGAGGAAGGGGCCGGGCCGGCTGGGCCGAGCCACCGCGCTCCGGGAAGGGCCCAACAGGTAGGCGGCGGGCAAGTGGTAGTGCGCGTGGCCGGGGTGCTGGCGAATGAGGTGGAGCCTCCGGCCCGGTTCCTGGTAAGCTCGGGAGGGTCCCAGGGACTGCGAAAGCGAATCTCCCTCTGGAAGAAAGAACCAAGAGCATAGGTGTTTGACTCCACCGGCCGAAGGAGGGTACATTCAGGAAAGTGGGGCTCTATTGCACGTCTTCAGCCTGCAGTTGCCCACAAGCTCCGTCAGAGTCGGGAGCACCCAGGATGCTCCTTCCCTGCCTGCGGCCCAGGACGCCCTTGCCCCTTCCCATCAGCTGTCCCCTGGTGGGTTCCGCTGAGCACGGCTCCTCCCATCAACTGTCCTTTGGGGACTTTTGCCGAGGGCCACCGCAAGCCCACACTGCACCTTTAGGTGAATTAGAAAAAGGCTCTCTTTCCACCAGATACTTCCCTCTCATCTTTTAAGAAGATGGTCATAATATCCTGGTTTTGTTAGAATAGGATACTTTATTGCCAGAAAAGTGGAGTAATAAATATACCCATCGGCCAGATTTAGAATCAACAAAGCTGTCATGAAAATACACAGTAAAGCTGTCTGCCCAGCTCAGGGGAGGTACCCTCAACCAGCGCACAACTTCTATTTTGTAAAATTTTATTAACTGCTGTTGTTGTTTTGGCTGCACTGGGTCTTCATTGCAGTGTTTGGGTTTATGTTTCTTAGTTGCCCTGAAGCGTGTGAGATCTTAATTCCCTGACCAGGGATCAAACCCACATCCCCTGCATTACAAGGTAGATTTTTAACTACTGGACCACAACGGAAGTCCCAGGGGCACAGCTTAGAGAATAACTGAGGCAGTCCCGCCTTCTGCTCCACTTCAAGGCAAACCATTTGCCCAGAAGGCAGCCCCTTCTCTACCCATCTGCCTGCACGCAGGGGAGCCCTTGGCCCACCTCCTACCTACGATGTTGAACATGCAGAGGGGGCAAGTGCGATGCTGATGCAGCCAGGGGTCCACACAGGTACGATGGAACTCATGGAGGCAGGAAATGACCCGGAGCTCCTGGAGAAAACAAAGGGTCAGAGCCAAAGTTGACGGCAGCTACAGCCGTGGCTAGGAAGCAGGGCATCCCTGACTCCCTCGCCCTCCCCTTTTAAAACTTTGTTTATTTTTGGCTGCACTAGGTCTTTGTTGCTGCTTTCGGGCTTTCTCTGGTTGTGGTGAGCAGGGGCTACTCCCTTGTGGTGCATGGGCTTCTTGCAGTGGCTTCTCTTGTTGCAGAGCATGGGCCCTTAGGGCACACAAGCTTTAGAAGCTGTGGAGTGGGCTTAATTGAACCTGTGGCATGTGGAATCTTCCCAGACTAGGTACTGAACCCACGTCCCCTGCATTGGCAGGCAGTTTCTTAACCACTGGACCATCAGAGAAGTTCTTGGCATCTCCTTTATTGCCAACACCTGCTTTCAAAGACCTCTTAGAGCTTTTGTGGCTGCGAGCCGGCTGTTCCTCTGATCTCTGGTGTTGAGAACCGCAGCAGGCATGACTCCAGTGTGGATTTTGATGGCTTCTGGTGGGCAGTTGTGTACCAGAAGGATGACAACTACTGCTGGGGTCTTAAAGCTCAAGCTTGCTGTACCTATGAGCAGACAGCCATTGAGCAGACTTGGCTGGAAGTTGAAGAGGTGAATTTGAATGCTTGACCTCTCAAAAACAGTTGGCCTGACTTTTTGATGATGGCTACATGTTTTTTTCTATGGATGACTTCTTTGGGGTGTGAAGAGAGGTAGTGACTACAATGCAAGGAATGAGGAGTTCTAACCAAAGGCAGATGTTCTGTTGTCCTAAAGATGCAAGGGCATTTATGATACCAGTCAGACGTAACAGGCAGCCAGATGGATGCATGTGGGATAGAAGAGCAAACAACTTAATTGGCTGCTGCTCTGCACAGCCTGTAGGATCCTAGCTTCCTGACAAGGGATCAGACCTGTGGCTGCTGTAGTGGAAGCTCAGCCCTAACCACTGGACCACCAGGAAATTCTCCAGCTTTCTATTGTAATAAAGATTTATAAGTCAAAAAAAAAAACAAAGACCTCTTAGCACAACAGAACAAGTATGGGCTTTGGTATCAAGAGAATCTAGACTTTTGCCACTGCATATGACCTTGGGCAAGTTTCTGAACAGTTTTCTGGTGTAAAATGAGGCTAAAAAACTAATCCACCCCCACCCTTCACTGTCATGAGGGTGACAGATGATGCCTCTAGAGCACCCACTGCAGAGCTTGGCATGTGGTACACACTCAACAAACAGAAGTTCTCTTTCCCTGGAAAACCAGGAAAATGACCAAACCTCAGGGCTGTCCACGCAGGATACACAGGACACAGATGCAGACCGCACGCCCACACCAGCTTCACCCGCCTCCCTCTCCAGCCTGGGCACAGGGGCAAACCACAGCCTGGCCTCACCTGGCCCTCGGAGAACTCCTCCAGGCAGATGGCGCACACCGGGGCGGAGCTGCAGCTGCTCCCGGAGTCTGGCCACTCATCCCTGGCGCCCCGGCAGCCGGCCCGGTACCTCCTGGTGGCCAGCTTGCTGATGGCCCAGGCTGTTCGCTGCTGAAGGGGGTCCTGGGGAGAACAGTGGGCCAGAATGGGGCCAGGGCTCCTCTCCCCGCACCCCTGGACCCTGCCCTGTGCTCAGGTCCCAGTCACACAGTTAGATCACACGACCACTGGACCACCCGGGGAGTTTATACCCTCTGAGTCCTTCCACGGCCCTGCTAAACATCCCCATCCCATTCCCCCATGCATACTATTAACTTTCCTTCCCTTGATGACCCAGGAGAGGAACTTTTCTCCCAACTGCCCCACCTTGACATCGTATCCTGAATATCTAACAGGCACATCCAACTTCACAAGCTCCACATTCCTAATCCCATGAATCACCTCAACCACACACTTGTCCTTCCCCAGTCATCCTCCCTTCAGTAAATGGCAATTCTGTTCTTTTAACCCCTCAGGCCAAAAACATCGGGGTCATTCTTAACTATTCTCTCACCCTCCATGATCAATTCATTAGAAGACCTGTTGGCCCTGAGGTTCTATAGAAGTGATGGTTCCAGGAGTTAACCTTTTCTCCTAATAATATTTTGCCCATTTAGAACTTTACTGTTAGAGTGGAAGAAAACCCCTATGAAGGAAGATCCATTCATACCATGGAGTAAGGATGCTTTGGGCATGGGTAATAGCTGGTGGTAAGGCTGTGATGGTTTTGATCACTTGTTAAGGAATGCTAATGGGGATCCGGATTGATTGGAATACTACCATCTGATGGGCACTTGGGATCTTGTGTTTCTGAACACCAGGGGAGTAACTGTGGGTATGGTGGACCCATTTTATGGAAATCTATAGAAGGGAAGTGGAGAAGGCAATGGCAACCCACTCCAGTACTCTTGCCTGGAAAATCCCATGGATGGAGGAGCCTGGTAGGCTGCAGTCCATGGGGTCGTGAAGAGTCGGACACAACTGAGCAACTTCACTTTCACTTTTCACTTTCATGCATTGGAGAAGGAAATGGCAACCCATTCCAGTGTTCTTGCCTGGAGAATCCCAGGGACGGCGGAGCCTGGTGGGCTGCCGTCTATGGGGTCACACAGAGTTGGACATGACTGAAGTGACTTAGCAGCAGCAGCAGCATAGAAGGGAAGGCTGTGTTGTACAATGTTATGATCCATTAGGGTGGATGGAGTCTTCCTAATACTGGCAACAAATACACTGAGTTAATCTTTTTATCAAATAGATTCATTAATACAGTAAGTCTCCGATTCTTGAACGGGTTATAGGTTTTGCATTTTCCCTTTTAGTTTACAAAAGTAGTACTACTAATTCTCTTATTTCAAATAAAGAAAGAAAAAGAAAACCTGTTGGCTTTGCCTTCAAAGTATGAAAAGCTCAGTTGTGTCCGACTCTTTGCGACCCCGTGGACTGTAGCTTAACCAGGATCCTCCATCCATGGGATTCTCCAGGCAAGAATACTGGAGTGGGTTACCATTTCCCCCTACCAGGGGATCTTCCCGACCCAGGGATCAAACCCAGTCTCCCACATTGGAGGCAGAAGCTTTAACCTTTGAGCCACCAGGGAAGAATCTAATCCTCATCACTTTGACTCCTCCCTGAGCCAAGCTACTCAAGCTACTGTCACCTGGAATTTGGTAATAGCTTTTGTGCTGGTTGCTCTGTCTCCAGCCTTGCCGCCCTGTAATCTGGTCTCACCACAGAGGCATGAGTGATCGTGTTAAAAGTTAAGTCAGATCATGGCTCTAGTTCTGCTCAAAACCATCCCATGGTTCCCATTTCATCCAGAGTAGGGAAAAAAAAAAAAAAGTCCTGACAACAGCCTAGAAAGTCCAATACCACTGGGCCCCCATGAACTCTGTCCTCACTGCCTGCTCTGCCCTCTTACTCACTGGATTCCACCGCATGCCTTCGTGCTGATCCTCAGACACACCAGGCACACTTCTGCCTCAAGGGCTTGCAGTGTCCTGTTTTCTCACCTCAATCACTTTCTCTCCAGCCATCTGCACGCATCACCCCCTCACCCACTGAGGGTCTTTCCTGTAATGTCACTCTCTCAATGAGGCCTTCCTTGACCTTACTTTTAAAAATTAACCCTGTTCCCTTTGCATTCCTTCCCCTTTTTTATTTTTCTCCCTGGACTTAACCACCATTGAAGGTATTCTATATTTTACTTACTTTGTTGTCTATTTCCACTAGAATGAAAGCTCCTGGAGGGGAGAGAGCTTTTGTCTTTTTGCTCACTGCACCAGCCCCAACACCTGGAATGTGCCTGACACATAACAGGAGCTCTCTATTTGTTGAATGTTTTGTTGAATGAATGAACAAATGAGGACACCTATGCAGAGAGGCTGCTGGAGATTAACGAAGTCATTTGCAAGCAGGGAGCGGGGGAGGGGACTGAAGGGGTGTTGGTGTGACTGTTTCATAGGCATAAGGGCACTTTCTTTGCTTACTTTTCCCTTCCTGCTCCCCACCCTCCCCCACACACGCGCTCGCCCACCTCCACCAGGAAGCCCACCCTGCTCACCGGCCTGGTGTGGCGGGGGCGGCACCGGATACGCAGCACCGAGGCCAGGATGACCACAAAGATGGTGCCCACCACCGTCAGGAGGATCCATACATCGTAATCTGGCTGGGGGAGGGAGCAGAGAGGGAAAGGGTCACACCTGTGGAAGGAGCGGGGCCAACTCGGGAGAAACACAGGAGACACATGGAGAACAGGGGGGGCCCCTGAGTCTCCAAGAGGGGGTGGTGAGGTTGCAGGTGGGGTTAGGTGGTCCCTTTCTGCCCACAGACACTCACTGGGGAGGGTCCTCCAGACGCCAGTTGTGAGAGGTTCGATCTCAAGGTCTGTGTGCTGGGGGAAAAGGGGACAGCGACCCCTCTGCAAGGTGGGAGCTTCCCAGTGGGTGGAGAAATACCAGCCAGGCGTCAAAGGGCCCAGGGCCCAGGGTTTCATTCTGGCTCTGCTACTGTGTTCCATGAAACCAAGATGCTGAAAAACCACTTCAGAACTCAGCTGGCCCAATCTGTTCATCCTGCAGATGCGGCCCAGACTGGGGAAGAAACTTGCCCAGAGGAGCACAGCTGGGGATAGAGTTGGTCTGGGGGGCTTTAAGGTCTGTTGAGCTCCAGGAGTCTGAGGGCTTTCGGTGAGAGTCACAGAGGGGAAGGTGGGGGTGACTGCAGGGGCCGGGGCTGGAGACTGGGCCCGCTTACCCAGGTCGGGGGCTCCTTGAGCTCAATCCTCACGTGGGCCTTTCGGTTCTTGTACACAAACTCCATCAGCTTTTCGGCATCATGACCCCAGATCAACACCACGGGCCACGTCAGCCCCAGGGGCTGCTGCAGCTGCAGGAGAGGAAGTGCCCATGAGGGCGGCTGTGTCCTGACTTCTGCTCCCGCAGCACCTCTCTCTCCCTCCCTCCAGCCCCCTCCTCAGGCACCCCTCATCCAGGGTACCTGCTCAGCAGCGGATCGATCCTCCGTGATGTCAAAGAGGACGGCGCTGGCTCCCCGCTCCCCCGCCATCCGGGCCTGCAGGGATACACAGCAGAGGTCTGGCAGGGGGGTCAGACACAGCCCGGCCACACCCCGGGCTCACCCCCTCACAGGTCCACCCCTGCCTAAGGCACACCCCACACCTCTGCACACTCACACCTCTAACACACGCAAGGGGCAGTAGGGTTAGGGTCCTCCTGCCCTGCCCTGAGCCCAGGGCCACTGCCTTCAAGGACCACATTCAGTCCTTCCTTTTGTAACAGAGCAAACCCTTAACAGGGTTCAGTAGGTGCCAGGCGGTGGACTAGGCTCCAGGCCAGGGGACAAGTAAGATGGCCCTGCCATGGAGGTATCTCTAGTCTGCCTTCGCTAAGAAGGGTGAGAACCGAGAGCAGGGAGTGACCGCGGTCCCCCAACCCCGGGCATTGGGGGATGCCGGTCGCCTGTTCAGAAGGATGGAGAGCTGCTTCAGAACAGAACTGGGCTTTCCAGGGTCCAGCGGTGCCCGACAAGAGGAGGGCGCAGGGCATCCCCTCGCCTCCGCAAGCGGATCCAGGAGCCCGGGCGTGCTCTCCCCAGGGGGCGTCAAGGACAACCCTGGGCTCAGCCCATCTGTCTCCCCGCCGAGGTCCAGTTGGCCAACTCCTCCTCGGCTCCAGTTCGGGACCTTACTGGAGGCCCTGGCCTTCTGCCCTTCACCCCTCCCTGAGGGGGGCGACAGAGCCTGGGCCGGGGAGGCACCCAAGGGGCTGTTCCCACAAGGACGACACACGCGAGCTCCCCAAGCTCCCAGAGTCGAGCCAAGCGGGCGGAGCAGACGGCAGAGCCAGAGAGAGAACCAGAGGCGGGAGTCGAGGGGCTCTGGGGGTGCGGGAAGACGCGGGAGCTGAGAGCTGAGGGTGCGGTGGGGGCGCGCGGGCAGAGGACCGGCAGACGGAGCGCTTCGCGGCCTCCCTCGGGCGCAGAAGTCCTCCAGGCCGCCCGCCGGCGTGGGGCCAGCCTCGGGGGGCTGGGGCCCGGGGCCTTCCTGCAGGCGCTGAAGGAGTTAACCGCTCCGCACGCGGCGGAGGCAGGAAGAGGAGCCCGCGCCGGGCTTACTCACTCGCTCACACCCCCAGCGCTTTGATCTCGGCTTCCCTTCCCGGGAGAGCCTGTCGGGGCAGGTCTCCGGGCAGGTCTCCCGCCGGGCCGGCCGGGGGAGCGGCTGTTGCTCCCGGCTCCCCACTCCCCGGGCAGCCGCAGGGGCCCCTCTGAACAGGCAGGGGCGCCCCGGGAGACTGGTGGAGACACTCAAGCGGGGCTTTTTCGGTCAGGAGGGCAACTTCCCCCTTCGCTTCCTCCTTCCCTGCGGAGCTGGGCCGGGCCCTCCACCAGCGCCCAGGCGCAGGCTCGCCAGGCTGTACCTGTGCGAACTGCTGAAGAGGCGGAGAGCTCACAGCTTTCATCCTCCTCTAGCCTGTTATGCGCTGGAAGTCTCCCCTAGGAGGTCCCCTAGGCCATCTAGGTGACCCCAGGGGAAAAAAAAAAAAAAAGTGGTCCAGGGACTTCCCCTTGTGGTGCAGTGGTTAAGACTCTGCTCTTTTAATGCAATGGGCGTGGATTCCATCCCTGCTCAGGGGACTAAGATCCCACATGCTATGAAAGTGGCCAACCAAAAAAAAAAAAAAAAGTTGTCCAATCTTCAGAGGCCTCCAAACCAGAGCGTGGGAGCTAGCCCAGGAGAATAGGAGAAGGACTCCTGATAATCTCCTAGTCCATAAACTGGCCAGAGGTGGGGTTGGGGGTCACCCCAGTAGGCACAGAACTGAGACTCCTGGATCCTCAGTGCTACCAAGGCCTTCTGTTTCTCATCCCTAGGGTGAGACCTTGAACCCAGCCCAGCCGGGAAGAGCAGGAGGGAAGGGCACAGACTTCCTCCTCTGGAGATGTTCTGCCTTCTCCACCTCTCTCTCTTTGAAGGGTTGGGGTAGGAACAGTGGAAAGTAATTACCCTGACGTTCAAACACCCCAGCCGAATACAGCCCATAATTACAAAGTTGTAAAAGTGATCAAAGAGAGAGGGTTGGCCAACAGGGGAAACAAACAGGACTTTCAGGCAGTGGGTGCCTGTGTCCAGAGTTCTAGGAATCAAAACGCAAGATTTAGGGCCAGATGGCTGCGCTCCTGCACCCGAGCAAGAGGGAGGGAGGAAGAGAAGAACTTCTTCAGAGACCAGAGCCTGAAAGAGAGGGGATGGGCAGGCCCTCAAGGCAGAAAGATAAGCTTTAGAAAGACATCCCAGAGGCCTCTCGGAGCTGCAGAGGCAGCCGGCCTTCTAAGAGCAGCAAGCAGGCTGCCCACAGCCTAGAGCAGGGAGGCCAGTGCGTCCCAGGACTCGGGCACGTCTATGGTCTGTACTGCCCCGTACCTTAGATCTCCCTCTCCAGACACATCACTGTGGATCTCCCCCTCATCACTGACTGACTGAGCACCCCTTGTGCCCAGCCAAGCCCTCCAGAACAACTCATAATCTAGTTGCGGAGACAAGGCATATATGTAAAATTATAATGCTGATAACAACATTCTAGAATACAAATAAATGAAACAGACCAGTCATTTCCAAACCTTTTTTTGCTGCAGAAAGCCCTTTCCTCCATCTCCCCCCCGCCCCCCTCCCCGCCACACACACGCACACACTGACAAATCTTCAACACAAAAGAGATAGAGGTGAGTTGAGGTTGAGGGTGGGACTGGGGGTAAGAAGGACCCTTGGCTTCCCTGCCCCCACCCCGCCCCTGACAAGGCCCTTCCATGAAGCCTGGTGTGTAAAGCATGGCCAGAGACCCTGGCAGCAGGCTGAAGGTAAGGGCTTCTGCTCTCAGTGGCCTAGCTGGGCTGAGTCAGCCAGGACAGATTCGGTAGAAGAGGTGGGCTTCATCTCGCCTTGAAAGTGAGGGTAGGAGGAAGGAGAAGGGATAACACCTTTATTGAGACCCACTCTGCCCAGACTGAATCTGCTATTAGTTATTAGCTGTGAAACTTTGGGCAAGTCCTTTAACTGCTCTGTGCCACAGTTTTCCTTTCTATAAACTAGGGGTAATAACTGAACCTACTTCATAGGGTTGTTTTGAGGGCTATATAATTTAATCCATGTTAAGCCTTATAATAAGTGCCTGGCACAGAGTAAGTGTTCCGTAAGTGTTAGTTATTATCGTATTAGCTATTATCATGTGCTTTGCGTGCCTGATTTCATTTGCTCCTCACAACAAATCTATAAGACAGTCATCAGCTCCACTTCTGAATTGAGGAAACTGAGGCTCAGAGAGACTGAACAACTTGTCCAGGGTCACACAGCTGATAAGCAGTGGAAGCAGAATTCCCACCCAAGACTTCAGCCCTCTGAGTGCCTGGTTACCAGGAGGTGGTCTCTATGGTAAAAGAAGCAGGGCTTATATCCATCTTTTTGCCTCCAGAGCCAGCTCTTCCCACCAGGCAAAAGGCCACTTTCCAGTCCAGGCACAGGGTGGGAAGGGCCTGGGGAATCACAGGGATGGCTGTGGAGCCGCTAATAGAGAAACAGGGACGGGGACTTCCCTGGTGGTCCAGTAGTCAAGACCCTACCCTTCCAGGGCAGGGGGCTCCGAATCCATCCCTGGCTGGGGAACTAAGATCTCACATGGCCAAAAAAATATTAAATATTAATAAAAAAGAAACCATTCTGGGTGACTGGGCAGGAGGAGGAAGGTGGTGGTCCTGACAAGATGGAAAGAGTCCAGAAGAACTACAGTGAGGGTTTCAGAGATGGAGAAAAACCAACCTTGTTGCCTGTGAAAGTACAGGATAAAGATGCCAATGACCAGGGCCACAGTGACCGCTGCAATCATTTGTTGAGTGATCGCTGTGTGCTAGGCACAGGCCAAGAGCTTCCATCCACACTGTCTCTTCCACCCCTCCTAACTACTACATGACTTCAGCCCCATCATTGTTCCCCTTTTACAGATGGGGAAGCGGAGGCTCCAAGAGCTGAAATGCTCAAGTCACACTGAGGGCAGCAGAGACGCTGGGCTCCAGACGCAGGGCTGCCTGGCTCCGGAGCCCCAGTTCTGGGGACCCTGATGGCACCCCGACACTAACTGATACGCCAACGCAGAGCTGACGGAGGTCAGTGGTTTTCAAGTTTCCTCACCAAAGAGCCACCTTTCCCCTATTCCTCCCATGACCCTATTTTTAAATATGCTTAACCAAGCTAACTGCATTTCTTACGCACAATTCATTTTCCTATGAGAAAACTTGTATTAACACATGGAACTGATAGAATTCCAACCAAAAGCAAAAAACACTGGAGAGTTTAGTTAAGCCAGTGGGATGTCTAAAATTTTGGGAAATCAAGGTGCTTCTCCTGAGCTGTTGGTTTGGCGTTTGATTTAGCTCAGGCACTACTTGGCACTTGGCAGACACTATTTCCAACCTCACCTTGGTCACCGGGGTAGGAAATCAAAGTCCCATTTTATGGGAGTGAAAACAAAGGCCCAACCAGGTTAATTAAGTACCTCAGAGAGCACTAACCGATGTTCCTCGTGACCCAGCGTCTCTGCACATGGCTCACGTCTCCTACAGAAACCTGGTCCTCTAGGGGCGACAGGAAGCCTTCTGTCCTACGTGGGCACATCCTGACGGGTTGCTGAGTGTCCACGTGTGTGTGAAGTCACTCTCTGCTTCAGAGGGACAGCAGGGCTTCTCAGAACCCGTCCTCCCCATCCGTCTGTCTCCCCACTTCTCTCTGCTCACACTGCCTTCCTAACAGCAGGCAGTCATTTACCAAATGAACAGTGAGTGACATTTGCCCATACTTTGTCAAGCGATGGAAATGAAATAGCCAGAAGCAGGGCAGCTTCAGCCTAACAAAACGCTGCTGCCGGCAAGGCCCCGCACCATCCTGCAGACACACCACAGTCTCCAGCAGCTCCGGTGGGCCCTGGCCCCCATCTCCCCCTCCCTGGGAGCCCCTTCGGCATCACCATAACCAGAGAATATCCTCACCCGTCCGTGGGCACCACACTCTGCCCACTGATTCCCCTGGGGAAACAGAGAAGAACACAGGCTCTTCCCTTGAGACTCCTGGCCCAGGAAACAGCCCTCAGGAGGACCACGAACCCCCCCGGAGGGCCTGGGCCTGAGCACAAGGAGCAGGCCCACGGGGTGGGGCTGTCACCCCCCTCTCTCACCCCCACCCCATGAGCAGGAACCCCGCCCTGATATCTGCCTGACTTGTCTTCTACGTCAAATAGAGAATGACAGTGTCTAGTTTTCCTGATCGTTGTGGAACGTAAATGAGAATTAATATGCAAGAAGTGTCTGTGCTGGGTCCCACCCTCATATCAGCACAAAGAAAGCAGTAACTGATGTGAAAGCAGGGGTTGTGAACGCAGATGTGTGCGGGTCCGTGAGGTGGCAGGCCAGTGGGCAGCGTGCCAGCCAGAGAGCCCGTGCCAGTGGACAGGTGGCAGCGGCTGCCAGCTCCAGCCAGGGGTGCCCTGTGGAAGCGCGGGCCACCACTCCGCAATCTCAGAGGAACAGTATTTTAAGGGGCACTGGCTCTGTTTCTGCTCCTTCTGCACGTTGCTCAGTGAATCCACCTGAAAGATGGAAAAGCCCTCCGGCTGACCCCTTCTTTGCGCTGATGCTGGGCACAGGGCGGGGTGTTGGAACATCCACGTGATGGGGAGCAGGAAGGAGGGGGTCCAAGTCCTCGGGGCCACCAGGAGGTTCTGCTGGCCCATGGTTGGTGGGGAAGGACGGGGGCCTGCATTTCCACGTCTCTCAGACTCATCATGGGCTATAAAAACCTCAACTGAGCACATCACTCTCGAGCAACGAGTAGACGATGAGCACAGGACCTCTCACACCCCAGAGCTGGGGGAAGTTCCGAGTGTGTGGGGGCCAAGGGTGACGCTACCTTGCTGGCCAGCGACAGGCAGGGGCGGGGGGCCCGTCGGGGACTCTCCAGCTTGACGATGCTGATGAACCCAGGCTCCAGATTGTCGTCGTCGCTGGCGTTGCACAGGTATAGGGGGTGGGACTGTGGGGAGAAGGACAGAGACGGGTTAGGAGGCTCTGGGAGCAGAAGGCACAGCTGGGCGCGCCGGGCGCTTCCTCACTGTTCTCACAGGGGCCTGGCAGGCCTCCTGGTGCCGCAGTAGAGGGGGCTTCCTATCAGATGGTCTCATAGCAAGCTAGGAGCCCCCAGTTGTTGTTTCAGGGGCACCAGGACCAAGGATGCATGGAGGTGGGGGCAGACAGGAGTGAGGGCTGTCCAAAATCCGCACCGAAGTGAAGAGCCTGTGGCAAAGCTGCTCCAGCCACCCTCAAGCCCTGCTTTTCCAAACCGGTCAGCTGCAGAGGGCTCTCCTGGCCCGAGCCTCTCCCACCTCCTAATTCTGCTCCAAGACCCCAGGTGCAGAGCAACTCTCACTGCACTCAGAATCTCGCCTTCCCCCCTTGCTCTCCAAGGGCAGTGCTGGGGGCCGCTGGTGCCTCCTGTCCCCTCGGCAGCTGTTGCCATGGAGATGCCCATCGCTCCTGTGGCCTGAGTCTTCTCACTGTGTGCTATCTTGCTCCCCTCAGCATCCCCCTGTGCCTACCCTAGGAGCAAGCAGGCTGCTGATAGGGAGAAGCACTGTTTGGGGATAAGGTTTGGCTAAGAGTTAAGCCTTGAGTAGCACAATTCCTAGGAGTCATCCTGTGCCCTGGAAGATGGATAGGAGGATGCAGCCTGCTCTGCCCACCTGCTCTGAGGGTATGGCAGGTCCAGCCAAGACCTGGGGCCTCCAGCCTGGCTGGTGCAGAGCAGTGACTCAGGGGAAGCAGGCCAATAGGCCTAACAGAGACTACAGGTCCCCGCGCCAAAGGGATGAGACTGCCCTTCTGCACACTCTCTTCTTCTTCAGGGTGACCTTTTTTTTTTTTTGGCCACACCTCACAGCATGCAGGGCTTTTCTGAAGCCTCAGCCGCTTGCAATGCAGGAGACACAGGAGACTCAGGTTCAATCCCTGGGTCGGGAAGATCCCCTGGAGGAGGGCAGGGCAACTCACTCCAGTGTTCTTGCCCGGAGCATCCCATGGACTGAGGAGCCTGGTGGGCTATAGTCCATGGGGTCACAAAGAGTCAGACACGACCGAGCAACTTCACTTTCATGTTTCACTTTCATGCACTGGAGAAGGAAATGGCAACCCACTCCAGTGTTCTTGCCTGGAGAATCCCAGGGACAGGGAAGCCTGGTGGGCTGGCATCTATGGGGTCATACAGAGTCAGACACGACTGAAGCAACTGAGCAAGTACACACGGCATGCACGTTGGATCTTAATTCCTCAACCAGTGATTGAACTTGCTACCTCTGCATTGGAAGCATGGAGTCTTAACCAAACTTCCCTAGACTGCCAGGGAAGTCCCTCCTTCAGGGTGATTCTAATACCCACTCAAACCTAATTTTCCCAGAGTACTGTGAGAGCAAAACGTAAGTCTATGGGCCAGGGATTCCCATGTGGCAGAAACGCAACATATCCTGGCAAGAATGGGACTTCCTACTAGGGAGTTGCCCATGATTCCCTGGTTCCTGCTGTTGAAGTCTAAAGGACTTCCAGGAAGAACCAGAGAGAATTTGGTCAGAGGAACCAGAGACAATTTTGAATTTATGAAGATGTTTATGAACATGATAATGCCAATGCTGGATTTAAAAGCTCAATCACTTTTTGAAAGCGCTTTTGGGCTATTTTCTCATACTGTGTCACTGCAGCCCCTTGAACATAGTAGGTTCTCAATAAGTATGCACTAGCTCACTTTGAATTGTATCCCTGTGAATAAAAATCTCTGAGCAGGGGGTGTTGAGAGAGGAGTGAGTTCCATTCTTGCCGCCAGAAATTAAGGACTAGTTCCATTCTTGCTGCCAGAAATTAAGGACTATCAGGCCAGTGGTGATCAAGATTCAGTGTGAGAGAAAGTTTCTATATCCCCCAGCCCCCGGAAATGGTGTGGGGCATAAAGTTGGGGGCTGTAGTGAAGTTTGTAGCCCCATCTCAACAAGCTCTACAAGTCTGTCCATCTGCTCATTCATTTCTTCATTTTACCAACACCGAAGGCCTTCCTGGGGCCAGGCACTGTTCAGTGAGTGGAGGAGTCAACAAAGAAGGCTTCTTTGCCTCAAAGAAGCGCAGCATACAAGAGTGCAAACGCATTGTGTTGTGCTGTCCTGATGCAGGTTCTTTCAGGGGCCCACTGGAGGGCCTGGGGAGGGGGACCTCCAATCCCACAGGGAGGTCAGAGTGACTTGTGCTCCTTTGGGGACTTAGATGATGTGTGTTCACCCAGTGGACCCACAACAAATGAGAGGACAGCTTCCTGGCAGAGGAAGCAGCCTGTGCTGAGGGTTGGGAGGGACCGCAAACTGAAGAAACCCATGGCCTCAGGAGCCTGACAGGCTACAGTCCATGGGGCCGCAAAGAGTTGGACACGACTGAAGCAACTGAGCAAGCATGCACATAGGATCTTACCTATGATGGAGGCGGTACGTATAGTCCGACTTTCTCCGGAAAGCTCCAAGATGCTTCTCCCTGACCAGAGGGTCAAGGGGGAAGGAGAAAGTCACTTTGGAGAGGAGCAGTCTTTAGAGAAGGATTTGTGAAGATGTAACCACTACACTGCCCCCAGGTCTTCTTGCAGGGGTGGGAACCAACGTGTACTTGCCTATAGTGTTCAATAGAGGGTGCTGAGATGGAGGGGAAAATATGGTGCAGCATCACCAGACTTCCCTGGTCCTGAACGAACAACCACAGAAGAAGGACATGGAGGAAATTAACCATTAGTAAGTGCCTTTGGCATGCCAGAGCCTGCAGATGTTATCTCACTACCAGGTAGGTGTGCTCCTCCCCAATGAGAAGAAGAAGCTTGAGGCTCAGAGAAATCAAGGTCACACAAGGTTAGAACCTGGCTCTGTCTGACTCCACCCTCTGGAGTCCTGTAACTCCAACTGTCAATCTAGACTGTCAGCGCCAGAGTCAATCTAATGATGAGGATGATGATGAGAGTTCACATGGATGGGGTAAATATGGTGGACCAGTGTCCTAACCACTTTTGTGTATTCTTTTTATCCTCTTAACAACCCTGTAATCATCTCCATTTTAAAAATGAGGAAACTGAGGCACAGAACAGTTAAGGAACATGCCCAGGATTACACAGCTGAGAGCAGATCATTAGAGGGATAGAAAGAAGTAAGATGAAGTTAAAAAAAAAAAGAACAATCCGTTTGACTTTGAAAACATGGTACCTTCCCCTAACTCATAACCAAGAAAACCTGGCTTTCTAATTATATATTCCTAAAGCATATAACCCAAACACAAGTCCCTGAAACGCTGGTGGTGACTTCCAGGAATATTCCAGGCTCTCTTTTAGTGAAGAGTGCTCCATGGTCCCCCCGGGTGACCCCAGCCAAACCCTTGACTTTGGTTTCCACACTGAGGTGGTTAATTACTTTAGTGCAGCCCAGACCTCTCTTGAGTTCCAGACCCTCAGGAGGGGCCTGGACATTTCTGCCTGAAGAACCTTAAATGAGACACCTCAAACTCAGCATCAAACTAATCATTTTATGCTTCAAAACTGCCCCTCCAGTGTTCCGTTTTTGAGGGACTGGAACCACCATCCACCTATTACTCAAGTTAGATGACTTCCTAGTCTCCTCTGAGCTCCTTCATCTCCTACCACCACCTCCAACAACTGATCACCAAATTCTTTTCTTAATATTTACTTATTGGGCTGTGTCAGGACTTAGTAGCAGGACTTAGTCTCTTCACTGGGGCACATGGGCTCCAGAGTGCGTGGGCTTAGCTACTCCAAGGCATGGGGATCTTAGTTCCCGGACCAGGGATTGAACCTGTGCCCTGCGTTGCAAGGCAGATTCTTAACCTCTGGACCACCAAGGAAGTCCCTAATCATCAAATTCTAGCAATTCTATCTCCTAAACATTTCTATTCTTTGTCCTTTTTCTGCCATTCCTATACTAACTCTAACACAAACCACCATCCGATTTACTGAAATAACCACTTAACTGGGGTCAACCCACCCGGCTCAGTTCCCTATACTGAAGCCAAAGTGGTCTAATGTGGGCATCTCTCTTCCCCTCTGGGCTTCCCTTACACCTCAGTTGGTAAAGAACCCACCTACAATGCTAAAGACCCTGGTTTGATTCCTGGGTCAGGAAGATCCCCTGGAGAAGGGAAAGGCTACCCACTCTGATATTCTTGGGCTTCCCTGTGGCTCAGCTGGTAAAGAATCTGCCCACAATGCAGGAGACCTGGGTTCAATCCCTGGGTTGGGAAGATCCCCTGGAGAAGGGAAAGGCTACCCATTCCAGTATTCTTGCCTAGAGAATTCCATGGACTGTATAGTCCATGGGGTCGCAAACAGTCAGACACGACTGAGCGACTTTCACTTTCACTCACTCTTCCTCTCTAGGAGCTGAAAAGGCTCCTCATAGCTCTTTGAATAAAGGCTGCACTTTTAAACACAGCTTAAAAGGCTCTGCCCACTCCAGGTCAAATCTTCATGCCTCCTGATGGCTTACCACCGCTCCAACACCTCTCCCCACTGGCAGCCCATGCTCCAGAAAGAACCTGTTTCATGTCTTCAAAACCTTTGGTGTTGCTGCTCTGTCAGGGTAGGTTGGAGACCCTCCTCAGGGCCCTTGTGTGTATGCTAAGTCGATTCAGTGGCGTCCAACTCTTTGTGACCCTACGGACTGTAGCCCGCCAGGCTCCTCTGTCCATAGGCCCTTAGAGCACTGTAATTCCCCAGGCCTAGACTTACCCCGGCCTGCCAATGCAGGAGACGCAGGTTCTACCCCAGGGTGGGGATGATCCCTTGCAGGAGAGCATGGCAACCCACTCCAGTATTCTCACCTGGAGAATCCCATGGACAGAGGAGCCAGGCGGGCTATAGTCCATGGGGTCACAAAGAGTCAGACACGACTGAAGTGACTTAGCACACACACAGACTTACCCCAAGGTATTTCAGTTATCAACTTACTTTGC